CTCCCTGGCACATTGCTGCCTTAGCGCTCCTGCATTTGCAAGATTAGTGAAGGAGCAGCTAGAAGAACAGGTCTTTGTATCCTATGTCAGGCCAGTTACTGAGCCTAAAGAGGAAAAGCCCATAGATCCCGCTATTGCGAAGCTGCTGGAAGAGTACGTAGACTTAGCTAAGCCGCCTACGGGAGTAGTCCCGCGGCCCATCCAGCATCGCATTGAGATAGAGCCTGGCAGTAGGACTCCTAAAAGAGCAGTATATAGGATGTCCCCGCGAATTGGAGGAGTTGCGCAAACAGTTAGACGAAGTCCTAGAGAAGGGCTGGATTAGGCCCAGTTCATCTCCATTTGGAGCACCTGTTCTATTTGTCCCAAAAAAGGAGGGAGATCTTAGAAGTGCATTGACTATAGGGGTCTCAGTGCTATCACAGTGAAGAATCCGGAGCCACTGCCCCATATAGATGATCTTTTAGATCGGGTGCAGGGTTGCAAGTACTTTTTGAAGATAGATTTGAAGTCCGGATATCATCAGATAGAGGTTCATCCTGATGATCAGTATAAGACCACGTTCCAGACTAGATATGGGCATTGCGAGTTTATAGTTATGCCCTTTGGACTGACCAACGCGCCAGCAACTTTCCAGCATTGTATGAATGACTTGTTTAGGCCGTGGTTAGACAGGTTTGTAGTAGTTTACTTAGATGATATTCTAGTGTTTAGTAGGACCCTCCAGGAGCATGAGGGTCATCTGAGGCAGGTCTTGGAGAAGCTGAGAGAGGCTAACTTCAAGATCAATGCAAAGAGGTGCGAATGGGCAAAGACCCAAGTTTTGTATCTAGGCCATGTCTTAGACAGAGACGGCATCAAACCAGAAAATAGTAAGATCGCAGCGATTAGAGATTGGCCTACACCCCGAACGTTGACAGAGTTGCGGTCGTTCTTAGGCCTAGCTAACTATTACAGGAAGTTTGTGAGGAACTTCTCCACCATCGTTGCTCCCCTGCGCAGATTGTTGAAGAAAGAAACAATATGGAAGTGGGACAAGGACTGCACGTTTGCCATGAAGAAGTTGAAGCAGGCGCTGATAGAGTACCTAGTCCTTAAGGTAGCCGATCCGTCCTTACCTTTTGTTGTCACGACTGATGCGAGCCAGTATGGTATAGGTGTTGTATTACAGCAAGACGATGACAATGGATATAGACCCGTAGAGTTTATGTCTGCTAGGATGCCTTCAGAGAAGGTAGCGACATCTACCTATGAGAGGGAACTCTTCGCTCTCAGGCAAGCATTAGAACATTGGAAGCACTACTTGCTTGGGAGACACTTCAAAGTTTACTCAGACCACGAGACATTAAGGTGGCTGAAGACTCAGACCAAGATGACACCTAAGCTTACTAGGTGGGCCGCAGAGTTAGACCAATATGATTTTGAGCTCAAAACAGTCAAAGGGAAGTATAATGTAGTTGCAGACGCCCTGAGTAGGAGAGCTGACTACTTTGGAGCGATAATTCATTATCTGGCTATAGGGAGAGACCTGCAGCAGAAAGTTAGAGAGGCGTGTGCGCAGGACCTTATCTATGGTGACCTCCTCAAGAGAGTAAAGGAGGCCCTAGAGACCGAACCAGACTACCGCACTACTGATGGGTTGTTATTCGAGAAGACTAACGCAGTTGACCGGTTGTGCATTCCTACCAGTGAGGAGATTCGTAGTTTGATCCAAGGGGAATGCCACGATACTGAGGGACACTTTGGTTGGCAAAAGACTCTAGCCAACCTCATGCGCTTGTATATATGGCTTGGGATGAAGGCCGACTGCATAAAGTATGTTCGCAGTTGTAAGGTGTGTCAGAGGAACAAGACCTCCACGCGTGCCCCTCTAGGTCTTCTCAGGCCCTTGCCTATTCCTTACCAGCCAGGAGACTCAGTGTCCACTGACTTTATGGACACCCATGTCAAGAGTAGCCACGGCAAGAGCCAAGTCATGATAATAGTTGATAGATTCAGTAAATATGCTGTTTTTGTTCCTTTGCCCTCAGAGGCACGCACAAAATTAGTTATTCAGAAATTCTTTGATCATTGGGTCAGTGAACACGGGATTCACTGTCTATAGTTAGTGATAGAGACACCCGGCTCACTAGTCAGAACTGGCAAGAGTTGATGAGAGTCTATGGCTCGAAGTTGTTGATGTCATCTGGCCGTCATCCAGAGACTAACGGTCAGACTGAACAAATGAATAAGATCCTACAACAAGTTCTGCGTATGTACATAAGACCAGATCAGATCAATTGGGATGAGATGTTGCCCAAAGTAGCCAGTGCGTACAATAACAGCGTGCACTTGTCTACCTGTCGCACTCCCAACGAGTTACACAAGTCCTTGAGACCACGTAGACCGTTTGAGGGACTTAACCGTGACCACTACCGCCCGGTACTAGGGAGTTTGCGTTACAACACAAGAAAGAGTTAGCTACCGTGGTAGAGAACCTCGGGAAAGCCCAGCACCGAATGATAGAACAAGCTAATAAGCACCGTCGCCCGTCACAGTTTCAAGTAGGCGACCTGGTCTGGGTCAAGTCCAAAGAGTTTGCTCCTGAGGAAAACATCTCGCAGAAGTTACTGCCCGCGTATAGAGGACCGTGACCAGTTCTGGATGTTAAGGGCGGAGAGGATGGGTCGTCCTACACAGTAGAGATCCCAGCACACCTCCACACCTACCCTGTGTTTCATGCCTCAAAGTTGTTGCCGTGTGTCACAAGTCAACAGTTTCCATCTAGGAGATCCATGATTCCTCCAGACATGGACGGAAGGTATGACATTGACGGCATTGTAGGTGAAGACGTGTTCAGAACAGGAGGTAGAGGTCGTCCGCAGAAGCAAGGTTTGCTTATCAGGAACCAGAGGACGACCGCTGGTTTACTAGAACAAAACTTCTAGAAACAGCTCCCGACATAGTTAGAGCCTATGAGAGAGATAAGAAAGGTAAAGGTCCTGCCTTGGACTGAGTTATTCTCGGAGGACCTCGAATTTAGGCCGGCGGGAGTGAAACAGTTTTCACCTGTTAGCAGTAGCGAATGCAGATCCCAGGGCTCGATCCCTAGTTCTCACCTTACCTGTGTACAGTATCTGTGTCGACCCCGAGTGKTTGAACCCGTGACCTGTGTTTTGACAGTTGTTGTTGTCTGTCGTAGGTCTGTGTAGTGGTACACGTACATCTCAGAGAGAGAAAAATGTCTAGAAGGTCTGTGTAGTGGTAGGGGTTCGATCTGTAGGTCTGTCGAGGAGTCACAGCCCTGTAGAGGTCGTAGCTGTAGGGATCCTGAAAGGTTAAGGTCGTAGCTGCTACAGTCCTGAGAGGTCAAGGTCATAGCTGCTACAGTACTCAAACGGCCAAGTCCACGAACTTCCGGAAGGTCCGGAAGTGGCCTTTCGAAGCTGCTCACGTTTGAGACAGAGGCAAGTGGGCAAGTGGTGGAGTCTACCCGTGCTGAGTCAGCAGTCCTAGTCCAGTCCAGCAAGTACCGTACGGGACTGTGTGCACTACGAGCATGGGAAAGGGCCAGACCAACGAGCTACAGAAGTATAAATTGAGAGGCAGCGACCAGCCATTCACTCATTCCTGCGTAAGCCATGCGGAAGCGCTGCCACAGCGACTTGTGCGAGGTGGTCTGCAGTGAGCCCGAAGACGAAGTGGGCGAGAAGGAAGCTAGCCATAGCGATAGGGTAGCAGCCGCCATAGCTGATAGAAGGGAGAGTAGCGTGTATGAGTGTGCGAGTGTACAGTGTGTTGCGTGTGGGATATCCAGGGTGATCCTGTGTGCGAACAACAGTGTTGAGTAAGTGACGAACAGAGAGTTGTGCAGGCGATGTGCCGCCATAGCCATTTGAGGTGAACTTGTATCTGAGCTGCATTCTTGGTTACTATATCTCTGAGTTCTGAGTGGGCGCTTGACGCCAGTTTGCTGCGCAACCTGTTTGCATGCACGTGAAGTGTGAATGAAAGCGAGTCTGATTGCACTAGGAAGTACCCGTGGCAGAAGACAACGCCCCCCCATAATGAGTGTACCGAGCTTGAAACGTGGCCCGTGTACATTAAAAACGACAAAGAGCCCTTGTCGAACTTTGGTGATGGCTCTCCCTGCTTTTGCATGTGCACGCACCGTGTCATGTTCTTTCAGAGTCACGCAACACTGGAGCCGCCCAAATTCTTTTTTTTTGGGGCCTTTGCATGGCCCAAATGAAATTTTGCGCAGTGGTTTCAAGATTTTCTACTGGCGTGAGGGTGGGTCCTTTCCATCTCCCGCGCCCTTTTTTTAATGGGGGGAGGGGTACTTTTGCAGGTTTGGCGCATCGGGTGCACGTGCCACATGTGCTGTGCACCGTGCGCTGCAGCGCATCTCGATGCGCCGCAACTATGCTCGAGTTAATTCATTAGTATCTTACTTTTTTTTAAGTTTTTTTTCTTTTTTTTTTGTTAAGATGACAACTGGCCCTTTCCTTGTTTCTTGAAGAGACAATGGCTGTGCTTGTTTCTTTTCCCTAAGATCAGTCTGATTCTTCCAAAGTGCTCACTGTTAACCTGTAAATGAATACAGATGAACATAGCTGAAAAGATGGGTTCAAAAGTCCAAGAAATGTTTCCAGTTTTGTTGGAAGCTTGCGTCATCACTTGTTGGTACTACGATTATCTGCCATATCCTATTCCTATACAATCGAGCCGCCCACCCTACTTGCTTCATCAAGATTGTCCTCATGGTGCCAAGGGCTTCCCGTTCCAGCCTATTTGCTGTCCACCTGGCAGCTTTGTGGTGGCGTTGGGCAGGCAAATTCCTTCACTTCCATTCTCATTCCAACCCTACCACTCAATGTTCTCGTTCTCCCTTGTACTCATCTCCCTTCCCAACATGGTGGGATTTCTCCTTTCTGCTCTACAGCTTATTGGTTGATTGAAAAATCTGTTGACTGGTTGATTGGTTGACTTGTTTGTGGTTTGGTGGATTTCCTGGACAGATTGGATCAACAGAATGGGTAGAAGAGAACCTAAACATTATCAGTGCTAGGGCAGTGGCATACCTGAATGTGGATGTTGGAGTTTGTGGGCCCGAGTTCTTTGCATCTGCGACTCCAACGCTTGACAACCTATTTCAGTTTGCAACTGCTAAGGTAGGTGCTTGGTGGTTTTGTGAAGTCTGGTACTCCAACGCTTGACAACCTGTTCCAGTTTTCAACTGCTAAGTAGGTGCTTGGTGGGTTTGTGAGGACTGGAACTACAATGCTTTAATTCAGTAAATTCTGGTCATTAATGTACATGAAGGTATGTGATAGATGTGCAACCACAGGTGGGTCTTTTTATCCATTGAACTTCGTGTGCCGTGTCGCCTTTGCTGAACGAGCAAGGCACTTGTAAAGGGCGGCGTAAAGCTGGAGCCGCCCGACACCGTCCATCTGCACGCCATCCGTCCATCCGTCCATCCGTTCACCCCTGTCCGTCCTTCCCTCCGTCCACCCGTCCATCCACCCATCCCTGCATCTTCCCAACCATCCATCCATCCACCCACCCATTCATCCAACCAACAACCCATGCATCCACCTATTCACCCATCTATCCATTCCCCCCTCCCTCCCTCCGTCCGTCCGTGCATCCCGCCCTCAATCCATCCCTCCCGCATTCCCTCCCTCCTCCACCCTTCCATCTATCCACCCATCCTCTGTCCATTCATCCATCCATCTCTCCATCTGTCCATCCCTCCCTCGATCTATCCCTCCCTCCATCCGTCGAGTTGCATATAGAAGCACACAAACCTATAGACTGTTTGAATCCTGATCAGATTAAAATTTAAAAGTCTACATCCCGGCACTCGTGAATTTGCACTCAAGTATGAGACAAAGTTGAAAAACCGATGGAATGTAACTGAGAAAATTAGACATGCCCAGTGCAAAATGATAGAGCAACGTAGTAAGCATCGTAGGCCTTTGCGGTTCACAGTCAGCTATCTAGTATTACTAAAGTCTAATGAGTTCGTGCCTGAAGAGGGATTCCTCAGAAACTGCTACAATCCTACAAAGAACCGTGGGAAGTTCTAGATGTCATACGAGAGTTGACGATCCGTCCTACACGGTAGATGTTCCTCCACACCTGCACACTCATCCAGGCTTCCATGCCTCCAAGCTGTTTTCTGTAGACTTTGCAGGAGGGTCGATGCAGTACCAACTGAGCTTGGCCTGTTGGTGCTATTTGGCAATGTTGTAGTGTTACGAGTAGGGATTCTAAGAGGAGGAAGAAATCTATTCTAGAGAAGGAGGTAACACAGGAGAAAGTTTTGCTATGGGGATATAAAATGCATAGTGGGCCATATTGATTCTTCTGCCAAGTGAAGTCCAGCAATTGTTCATTAACTGTTATCTGACTGGTGTCTGCGGCGTCAGAGATGCGGTCCAGCAGGGTATCCTGGTACTGCGTTCCGATCCCCGATAATGATGATGTGTCTATGACTAGGAATCGTCCAATTGAGGGTTTTGAAGAACTAAGCTTTTTCTTGGTGGTGGTTGGCACCATAAATTCCAAAATTTGCTAGTTCTTCTTCCAAGTATTGGAGATCTCGCTTAGCCATCTGCCAGGTATCTGAACCTTTTGCACTAGTAGGTTCTTGGTGTTTCACATGCTGCTGGTTTTCCATGAAGTAGGATTACCGTGCCTGGTAATCCATCTGGCCGTGCCGGCACCCAGTCACTGCATTTGATATGCTTCAAATGGCCGTTGGTCCTTTCGTTGATTTTCTGGTGATCTGAGCTATTCAAAAGATGAGTCTCTTAACTCTCTTGTAAACACACTATATCCGGCAGCTATTTTCCAGGCCATCAAATGGTATTCTACAGTTTTGTCCAGTTAGTAGACTTGTCGGAGATGGAGTCCAGGCCGGTCACATTCCATGATAGTATAGAGAGTTCTGACTGCTCAAAGCCTGCTTCCGGAGTTCCTTACTGATTTCATCATACATTGTCGCTTTTCTTCTTTTGTTTCATTTCTCCTCCAGCTCCTTTCATCATGTGTTCCTGTATACCCTCTTCCCCGGCATAATGCTGAGTCTTTGCAGGGTGGCCCGTTGCTGATTAGCAGCTCAAGGGCAGGCTTGTAAGGTAGGAGGCCCCATGTTTGGGTTCTCTCTTGCTCGGTCTTGCCCTTTCAAAATTCTCCCAAACTTGTCCAAGACCTCATTCCAACCATTGCTCTCTCTTGAAACATTTGCTATTTGCTTTGGTTATGCTTTTGTTTTTACCATGCATAGTGCAACATGCTCATAAGCATGGCTTTTTGTTTGCCCAAAATGTTTTGTCTTGTGTAGGTGAAGGACCCGAATGACCTGAGGCAATCTGTCAAAGAGGCGTGGACAAGGGGCACACAAAGCAGCTCTGAAGTAAAAGTGAGTGGATCTTGGGTGACTGAATATCCACCTCCACCTTCTCACTATCTCTTGGCATTGTTGTGATAATCTTGTCCAGGCAAGATTGTTTGACGGCAGTCGTCAGCATTGGTCAATTTAAAATATTTATAATATCTTATATTGTATTCAACTTCACTTGGTAACTCTTTGCCCACTGGGTCACTAAGGTGGCGTTAATGAAGCAAGCCATTTGGAATGTTTCCCTTTAGCATCGCGCGACTATAATCATCTTTCCAGCACAGTGTTCTTCTACCTGGTTTTGCTTAGCAGGATTCAAATGAAAAGGATGCAGATCTCTCCTAAGCCGACGTTTTCTTGGAGTTCCTTACATACAGTATTAAACCCGAGCTTAAACATGCACGCTACTAGGTTACTGGGGCTCATCTTAGGGTCACAGAATCAACGGGTAAGGTCACAACGGAGACGATAACACCGGTTTTCCTTCTCTGTTTTTTCTCAAGTTTTTCTCAAATCTCTATCATTCAATGGTAGGATTACCGTTGGTTCCGAGACTGCGGACAAGTACAGCAGCACCGTAGGTTAAGCAGATAGAGGTGTGGCATCCACAGGCATGCGGTTGATTACAGCTGAACGGTTGATTACAGCTGACTGAGGAGCTGTCAATTGCCTCATGAGCATTGGGTCTATTCAACTATCGAGTCGTGTTGACCGCTAATTTGTTGCCAAGAAGATATGAGACAGGATACAACAGTTTTGATTTTTTTTTTTGTTTGTGTGTTGTTGTGGCGACATGTTGCATAGAAAAGGCATCTCACTGGTCTCAATTCTTCTTTTTTTTTTTTCCTCAACTGAAAGAAGAGGGCCTTATGGATCTGACTGTCTTCTATTCTAGGGGGCGTCATTCTGGCAAAAAAAAAGGGCTAACAGTTATCTCAACTCAGGTTAAACCGTTAAAATGTAACTGCTTATTTTAATGTTCTAGCTACTCATGAAATCAGACTGCACTCCAAACTTGCTTTCAACATGCATACACGGGAACTGATGGCAAAACCAAACTCTTCAACTCAGAATCAACAACGAACTTGAACTTAAACTCTGTTCAAGTCAACTGTACAACTTGCGGCTGCCGAACACAGTCTCCACCACCAGCCTCACTCTCCCTCATGCACGCATGTACGAGTATCTACCCTGAATGTCCACGCTACACAGACACACACACTCTGTACACTCTGTCTGTGACAACGGTTGGGCGGCTATGGCCGCCGTCGTCTTCCTCCTAGCTATGGCCGCCATCGTCTTCCTCCTGGCCAGCTATGGCCATCGTCTTCCTCACTGCCCACTTCAGCTCCGGGCACCTGCAGACTTCCACGCACAAGTCACCAAGGCAGCACTTCCGCATGGCTCACATGCGAAACCCGACTTAGGGCCGGAGGGACACACCAGGGCCTAAAGGCCCGACCTTTTTGGGTTACAGGCCCTAAAGGCCTGATTTTGGACCAGCACCCATCGGGTAGGCCCAAACGACACTTCGTTTGGGCCTGGCGGCGCTCTTGAAGCTGCCGCCCGCCGATTGAGGCTGAACCGTCCATCTGGACGGTCCGGGGTCTGGCCTGGCCTCGCAGCATTGAGGCCAGACCATTGCCTACCGGTATAAGTACCGGTACCTGCCTCAGTTGAGGCATCGACCTACCGGCATTGTACCAGTACGGTATGGTCAGCGCCAGAGCGCTGTGTTGATGCGCTAAACTTAGCGCAGGGGCTGGAGCAGGAGCGCAGCATAGTGCAGCATAGCGCAGCAGCGTGCGGAGCAGCAGCGGGCGACTGAGTTACACGGCGGTTCTCACCGCCTGAGGTACCGGGAGCTTGGAGGATCTCTCCTCCTCTCCCTCGCCAGTCCCCTCTCTCTCTCTCTCCTCTTCTTCTCCTTCTTCTTCTTCTTCTTCTTCTTCTTCTTCTTCTTCTTCTTCTTCTTCAGATTGGAGACTATCCAGTTGGACAGAGATCAGGGTTGGATTTCGGTGATACGAGACTGTGGTACTTACCTGATTGGAGACTTGGAGATTGTTGAGGTTGATACTCGGCTGCATCACAGTTGGACACCGGTTACATCTAGACTCGGTTATCTCGACATTGGTGACCTTTGATCCTCGACATTTTGATCTTGTTATATGACATTCTGGACTACCATTTTGGAGACCTACCGGATCTATCTCGTGACCTATCGGTGTGATCTACCTCCTACCTCCTTCGTCTCTCCTCCCACCTTTCATCTGTGTATGTGTGTACGGGATCTGGGTATCGTCTATGCATGACCCAGACCCCACCATCTCATGATTGTATGTGTGTGGAGTGATGCCATGTAGGTCAGTCTATGTGAGTCAGT